ACATCTACCAACCCCGGCCAGGTGTCTCACGGTGGCCTCCGCGAAGGTTTTGGAAGGTGCAGCGATATTACTGTCGTTGCGCGGCTTCTTCAACCTTCTTGGGGATCCCTCCGTGGAGGTACACAACTGAGGGAGCTTTCCTGCAGGGGCAGCTGGTTCCTTGCCTTTATTTAAGGAGGAGCTCTTGGCGCCTGCCGCAGGAAGTGCCCTTGCTGTTGAAGGTGGAGTGGGAGAGGAGAAGGCTGCTCTTATAGCAAATGCAAATGCGCTTACGCCTTGGACTTTGTATTACATTCCAAACGGTAGATTGGGATGGACATTTCTGTTCATCCCCAGCCACCACCTCAGATTGAGGTGAGCACTTCTGTCCAGCCTCGGGATTGGTTTTTGTTGTTTTTAGTTTCATTCATATATATTCCCATGAGTAGCAAGGGAAGAGTTTTTGCCCAGTTCCCCAAGGGTATCGTTCGTGATCACATATCACCCTGCGGCCATTCAGCTGTCGGCACGATTCCTTACAGCTTAACTTGGGTAAGCTGGTCCACGGTGGCATATATTGCAAAGGGGAGTTTTAGTTCCCCTCACCCTACTTATTTCTGCCACTGACCAGGAGTTCCGGCGACCCCGTTCGTTAGGTCACATTGGCTTTCCGGACAGGGCCTCCAGTCCCCTGGCTGTTCCTCTAACCGCCACCTGGGGACGCGCCCGATAGGTAGCCCAACCCACGGGCTAATTTTAGAGGATGATGGGGGTGATAGTTGGTATGGTGGTGAGGTTAATGGTTTGGTCGTGGGGGATGATGGCGGGGTTTCAATTCAAATTCTCCCTTCTGACTGATGAGTACTATTGCTGATCGTTCTGAACGACCCAGCAGAAGTATTGAGATTTCTCAGTTTGTCTAGGACTCCATGTTGGGTTTGTGAATTCTCTCGAAGTGTTTTTATAACACGCTTTCATTAGCTTCACCTGTATGTATGTGTGTTTGTTTGTTTATAACTCTCAAGTTCGGGATCTGTATTTGACAGAATTATCGACATTATTGCTTGATCTATTCACGGGCAGATGGCGCTCTACGTGCTCCCGATGTTGATTTAATGGCCAAGGTTGTTGTTGTATTTGGGATTGCAGGAGCTTGTCGAATTTGTGAATTCAGCCAGGTAACATGAGATGATATTGAAGATTCGGGAACGTTATTAATTGAGAAACAAGCAAACAAAGAATGATGTAAACAAGAGATTTGTAGTTACTGAAGAAAAATATAATTTCAACACAAGAAAATTCGACTGTTGTACCGAATAGTTCAAGGAGCACATTTAATTCCAGGGGAAAAAAGTAATTTCATAAAAAGTGACATTTTGTTACCTGTCATCAGAGATAAAATGTCGAACTTTTTTCCCGTCACAGAAAAAAATAATTTACCTTTTCAGTTCGATGTTCTTTAAAATCGTGTTTTTTAGTTTTTCAAACTAAATTCATTTGTTTGTTGTCGTCTAGTCTATCGGAGGGTTGATTTTTCTGGAATGATTTAAAATCAATAAATCGCTTCGAAATGTAAGTTAGAATATTGTGATGTTATGTGGAAATTAAAAAATGGGAGTACTCTTAAACAGGACCCCTATACCTCTGAAGTAACTTACTTGTCTACCCAGACGATTTTCATTGTTTATCTGCTGAGTTTCTTGAAAGAAATTCAACTACTTTCCCTTTATATTACATGTTATATTGCTTGACGAAATAACGTCACGTTTTCAGGTTATCAAATATTAGCCATGCCGATGATTTTTGTTTGGAATTTTGTTTCGTGTCCTATATCAGGAATTTCAATATAGTCGCTTCGTGTATTTTTCCAGAAAGCTATTTCATTATATGGAATTTTTTTATTTCATTCTAAACGTTTTTCTCAGGAGGCGTTTAATTAATTCGAAATACCTCGAAAGATCATAAAATATATTACGTTCAACGTTGTAGGCGTTATTTGCGAGAAGATACGTAGCGGATATTAAATCACTCATATAACTGTTTCGAATGGTTCCAATTCATTCCTAGTAAATACACTAGCAGTAGAATGAATCCACCAGAAATAGAAATTTCCTGAAAATGATTTACTTGGGCGTGACGTATTATAGTGAGCGGTGTCAAAATCAAGTGGAGTGAAAATTTCTGAATCAGGTTATACATGTGAAGGGCCTAATAATCGGATTATTATGCCAGGTGCATGTTTTTGTCGATATTATTCAATGAGGTCGTTCAATCCAATCTAGGTTTGGTGCATTTTTCAAATATATTCAGCTAGTGCTTGTCAATGGCCTATCAAGATAAACAACTTCAAAACTGGGCATTTGTCGAAAGCTAGCGTGACGTCACGGGATATATGCGATTGTTGTCACAGAGTCGTCTGAACTGTTATAAAGGAAAACATTTGATGTTTGAGGTTCGAAAGATATGTTCAGACTAGGCATACTTGAGAAATTGATAACAAATGGACATATTCATGGTCAAGGAACATATTTATAGAAATAAGAACTGTTTTTTATATCGTATTTAAATAAAAAGTGGTTCTGGAGTCCCATTATTCATTATTAAATATTTGTTGGCAATGAGAAATTGAAGTGAAGCGATAAATTCGAGTGTATTGGTATGTTCAGGTGGTAAATGAAGTTGTTTTAGTCCACCCTGTAAATAGGCATATAAAACATTTATTTTATTTTCCCTTTGAAATGAAGGTGGTGTACGTACATTACCATTATTTTATGGTGTGGTTGATGAACATGTTATATCATTATACTGTCGTTCAGATGATATTAAATTCAAACTAATGAAGTGGATATCCCATTCATTAATGAAAACAATAGTAGGTACTAATAATATAAATGGCGTTCAACAGTTTTCCATCTGTTTGAAGGTGATTATCAATGTTTCATGATGAATTTCACTAGTTTTCTGAACCACGAATCCAACCATCATCAATCAACTAAAAGAGGAATCATCAAGACTCAATTAGACCGTGCTTTCGGGCTCTGTAACACGAAGGATGGTCTCGAGAAGGAACTAGACATCATCAAAAATGATCTTCATCGGAATGGCTACTCCAAAGCGATGGTAGAGTAGACTTTGGCTAAAAGACAGCAGGAGCCTCGCAAGGAAGAGAAGCCGTCACAACCAGTGCTTGCACTTCCCTACATCTGAGGATTATCGGAGAGGATAAGAAGAATTGGTTCCAAGTACAACATCAGAACCTGTTTCAGATCCGGTAACACTATCCGTAGCAGCCTCACGAAAACCAGGCCCCCAAACGCGGACTGCGATTCCAAGAATTGCATTTACCGGATACCCTGTGAGTGCGGAAAATCCTATATTGGTGAAACTAAGAGGCCATTGAATGTTC